GCTGGGTAACTTCTTTGTGTGATTTATTATAAATTGTTAAGACTCGTGTACCTATGATACTTGAAGTCTTATGCAATACAAAATTGTTAAAAATATATTTTAACTTCTCTTAATTAAACGTTTATCTTTACTAATCAATTTAAATATATTAATTTATTTTTTTAAATATTTTTCATTAAATAAAATTAAATTCATACTTAAAAATTTTAAATTGTGTCTCCAAATTTAATAAATTAAATAACCAAGCATTCGATTATTTAAGTATACTTTTTCATTTTATATAATGTTTTGCGACATAGATGTGTGATTTACATTGCCTTTAGTTGACAAATAAGTTCTGAGATATTTATGTATAGCTTACGTTGCCTTAAATTTCTTTAATATTAAAATTTTTAAATTAAATTATATATTAAAAATATTTTTTCATAAATTAAAATATTTGATCTTAATTACCACATTTTTTATAACGACTTACAATATGGATGTGTGATCTTCTTTTGCCTTTTGTGTTGTTCGTTATAGAGTAACATGTATAGTTGCGCTATCTTATATCCTAAAATATATAAACGATTCTTATTTCTTTTCTCTTAAAATAAATATAATTATAATTAATTTTAAAACAAACTCTTTTAAAACCTTATAAAATTCTACTTAATAAAATAATTCTATAATTTTTTTACAGAATTATGTGACTTTGAGTTCTCTATTGCACTTGGGAATATGTAGGAGCGGAATCATATCTGTCGAGTCAAAATAATTTTTAAAAAAATATTTTTTTCTTTTCTAAGATATAACTTAATATTTTTAATAAATAAATCTTCTTTCTTTAAAAATAAAATAACAACATTTATTTTTTAAGAGTTAAATAAATGCTTTTCAAATTTATAATAAATTTGCACAATTAATTTAAGATAACCGTTATTTAAACGGACGTTATAGGGTGCTAACACTTTTCCTACGCGTAAATGACTCCTAAATCTATTTTTTGTTTCAAAGATCAAAATTTTAAGTTTTTCCAAGGTTTTATTTGATAAACTTTGGTGACAACTTTACTGATTTTTCTTAAAAATATTTTTTTGTCGTAACATTGCGACCGCTTAGTTGCAACATATCTCATTTTCTCCTTTTCATCTTCCTCATTTTTTTCTTTTCTCTCCTCCTTTCACCTCTCGTTCATACTCCACAACTAATTTCTCTCTCCCCCGAAAAATCTCAAACAAAAATGCAATATATTCTAATAGATTTTTTACTTGAGTTTTGGGATCATAAGAAAAAGCGAGCAGCAAGACAATAATAGTAGGGAGCAAGACAACAATAGTAGTATTGAATACAAATAAAGTATCAACAACTATTTTAATAGAGGCAAAGTTTCTTATGACTTTTATCTTTTTGCTCTTCCTCAAAACCTTTCTCCTTCTTTTCTTTTCTTTTTTTTTTTTTCTTTATTTACTTATTTTCTTCTTCTTTTACCCCTTATTCACACTGATCTATTTTTTACTTTGTAAATTTTGATAAAAATACACATTCTAGTAGGTGTTAAATTAAAACAAAACTCTAATAAAAATAGAGAAATAAATTAAAAAAAAGTTAAAAGTTAAGAAATTAATATACTAATTTAACCTAAAAATAAGTAAAAATTTCTTAACACCATATATTAAAATTGTTCACTTACATCACTTAATAACTTTTTATAAAATCTAAGATTAATCAATTAATCAGTAGTTTGAAGGTTTTCATTAAATAAATCAATAAATACTTAAATAATTTATTTTAATTTGTTAGTTTTTCATGTACTTGTAATAATTTATTTTAATTTGTTAGTTTTTCATGTACTATACAAGTACATGAAAAAAAATGTTAGCTTCTCAAATTAAAATATTTTATAATAAAAAATTAAGAATATATTATATAATTATTTTTAAATTAATAATTTTTATAATTGAAAATAAATATTTTAATAATAATAATAAATATTTTAAATTAAAAGATAAATTATGAAAAAATTGAAATTCAAAATTTAAATAAATAAAAAAATAAATTCTAAAAACTACTTTGATTACTGTAGTTCTAAAAAGTACTCGTATTTAAAATTGGGCACTTATATTTAATATGTAGAGGTAGATTTAGCTAAAATTTTAAATTAAAAGTAAAATTTATGATTTATTAAATTATTGATAGTTTTATTATAAGTTTTTTAAGCTATTGTATCTTGAAATATATTAAAATAGAAAAAATAATAAAAACTAATAGAAGAGGAGTTGAATTAAGTTTTTCCTTATTCTTAAACTTTACAAAGACTTTAAAACAAAGTTATATTAGGTAATTTAAGTTAGGTGTAGCTGGTATAAAGTTTATAAAACTTTGGTTTTTTAAAAACTAAAACTTTTTAATTAATAGAGTAGACTCTTATACACAAGTATACAAATCAGAAGAAAACTAGTTTAAAAATAAATTGAGAAAAGAGAAGGTAAACACTAAAATTAAATATTTATACCTATAACATTCAAGGCTATATCTAGTATCTATCTCTTAGAATTAAAATTTTTATTATTCTTCAACTTCTTTTATAAGCATTGCAATAGTAAAATTATTATTTGCTCTCATAATATCTCCACGATCAAACGCAAATATTATATGCAATTAGTCTTTCTAGACTCAAACTAAAATGTTATTCCTAAGTACTTTTATTAGGTTACACTCTTCTAAAAAACAAGAAAAGTAAAATCAGTACCATATTAAAGTTTTTTTCAGTAAGTACAAAGTGTTCAGTATTTATGAGATGAGTAAGAGTAGTGTTTAGGCAAAGGGATTGAAGGATTCACTTGCATGTTGCTCTTGTTATTATTCTTGGTAATTTTTTCTTTTCTCAATCTCATGTATATATAATAACTTAATAATTTCTTCACTTTAACTAATCAATTTGTATTTTATAAATAATATCTTTATTAATTTTTAATTATTTTATAGAATTGATCTTAGGTACTTAAACTTGGAGACGTACAGTAGAATATCATTTTTAACTTTAACTTCTAATACATGATCTCTTTTTTCTTTTTTGTTAAAATTGTAATGTATATACTTTGTTTTATTTTTGTTTAAACAAAAATTCTTAGGAATTATTTGGCAAGAAGGGCGGGGTTGAGAGGGGAGAGTGAGACATATTTTGTATTTTAAATAAATATATTTAAGAAGAATATTTTTTTAAAATAAAATATATAAGTTAATATATTAACATAAATTTAATTTATTTATTTATAAATGATATATAATTCTTTTAATTTAAAATTAAAAAATATGTCATCTCTTCCAAAATTTCTCTTCCAAACATAGTTTTAAATTCCAAGATTTTTATCTATAACTCAAGTTTAGTATTAACACATTCTTTTAATTCCTTAAATTAGGATTATGTCATCTGCAAATAACATTAACTGAAAGATAATTTTTTACATGTTACCTTTAAGTATATTTAAAATTAGGTTAAACAAGAGCTCAACATAAAGTATTAATGTAATCTTTTTTAATTTTAAAATAAATTATACAAAATGTAAAACTAACGTTAAGATTAAACTTAAAAAATTAAATGTTCAATAGCGTAATAAAAAGAAAATTAACACTTAAAATGTCCTCATTTAAGAATTATATAATATTCACATTTTATATTATAATAATAATAATAAATTTCAAACTTGTACCTGAGTCAGAGAATAAAAGAAAAGTTGAATAAGGCAGATTATCACATTTTCTTGAGACTTGAACAAGGTTTTAGAAATTGCTCACCTCATTTACTTCAAAATATCTAAAAGGTCTTTAGTCAGACCTTCATTTTATGTCTTTAACAAGAATTTATTGCATATAAAAAATATGAAATTAATATAATTCAAACCTCTAACATTAAAAGTAAGGTTTGCGCAACAGTTTACTTTTACGGGAATCGAATACTGTTAGATTTAGATAGTTGTTGAGAGTGCCCATTATTTTCTCTTAAACTCCTATTGTTTTCTTAATACCTAACTACAGAACATTCTCCGAAACTCTCGCACTATTCACTACTGTAATCTACATCATTAACTGTTGAAGATTCTAAGAGCTTCTAAAGTCTCAAATTCTTTTGTGTGTTACAAAAATTTGGGTATAATCCTTCACGAAAAATCAACTTCCTGAAGTACGGCACAAATGTTGTGGCATAACATGCTTGTTATATTAAAAATGGAATTTGCCATCATGGGTGAGTCCTTGAACCTGAAATCTGCGAAATAACGCCACTGAAAACTCAAAGTCTAAGCCATTAGAGAAGTGCTACGGATTTGTTGTTAAAAGAAAATTGGAAACAAGTTCTTTTTTTTAATGAGAAAAATGGATTTTGAATAAGTTAGTTTAATATTGCTTTGAAGTACACATTAAATTGGATTTTCCACACAGAAACTATAGAGAAGAGATTTCAAAATTTGAACCATCCGCGCGTTGAGTAAAACAAGGGATTTGTTAGGAAAATATAGAGCATTCATGAATCCAAAATTATGTCCCAAAATTACTTCCATTGATTTTTCCGCCAGAAAAGCTGTTGAACACATAAGTAATTTTACTTCAACAAGTAATTTCAAAGTTACCAATTTCGCTACTCGGTTTGACATCAAATTTGAACTACATAAAGTTGTGATGTACTAAACACCACTCATCCCACACGCTGGCTATGGAAATATTTGAATTGTTTGAGTAATCAACCACATTAGACGGTGTAGATAAAATCATTTTAGGAATGTTTGTTTATGCAAAGATCATGCACAAATCGGTGCAAACTTGCTCATACCGCTTCAATCCTTTGCTACCATAATGCAAAATAATAACTGCAAAATGCATGAGATTCCTTTCCTTTTCATGAAAGATATTTGCATTAACTCAAATCTTTAAATAAATAACCATGGTCATATGCCCCCTCTCAATTCAATCCCACTCGATCCCACAAATTCAAAAGGGTCAATTTTTTCTCCTTTAATTGTGGAATGGCATCACACGGTTTGGAACGTTGTCCCTCAGAAGCCTCTAACATATCTGCCACCTCCGAAGACATTTCCCTAAACGATGGTGTTGAAGAAGAGAAGAATGATGTGATTACAATGAAGGAGAAGGATGGTACATCTGAAAAAGGTCAAGCTTCAAATTCCAATTCCCATGTAATGTTGGATTTTGTGAAGCTCTCCAATGATGATTCAATTCATGGGTCAAAGGTGGAATTGAATTTTTTCAATCCAAAAAACGTGGTTAGTTCATCTTCTTTTAGGGCTAATAATACTAACGAAAAAGATGAGAGTAATGAAGAGAAAACACCAGAGGCAAAGACTTTTTCATGCAACTTTTGTAAAAGAGAGTTCTCTTCTTCACAAGCTTTGGGAGGGCACCAAAATGCTCACAAGCAAGAGCGTGCCCTTGCAAAGCGTCGCCAAGGGATTGATGTAGATGCTTTTGGACACCCTCATTTTCCCTATTATTCTTATCCTACGCACCCCTTTTATGGATCCTATAATCGCACACTTGGGGTTCGAATGGAGTCTATGGTTCACAAGCCATCTTATCATTGGACCTCACCCTTGAGGTTTGGTCAAGGGTGGCTAAGGCAAGAGATGTTAAACCCATCTCTTGTGAGGATGGAGGGTTTGCATGCAAATAATGAAATTGGAAATTTTAGGAGTGGTGCAACTTTGAGGGCAGAAGATGATCGTGGTGCTGTTGGAAATATTCCTTTCCTTGGAGATTCTTCTACAAATGTTGCTACCAAATCAAACTCATCCATGGACAAGCCAAAATTGACTAACATGGGTGATCATTATTCCAAGCAAGAGGAAACATCCAATCCTGATTCTTCTGGGATTGATTTGTCACTTAAGCTTTAAGTTTTGATCTTGTTTTTATTTAGATACTTATCAATGTTCTTGTTAATTTGATTGCCACTCTTGTTTAAGTTAATTGGGGCATTTCAATATTTTAGCTGTCGAATTATACATTTTGAAAAACAATATCAGTGTAAATAATTGTGTTTTGTTTCATTTTAAATTTTGCTTTTCTATTGTTCAGGTGTGATATCTGAGTTTATTAGCTTATTAGTTATGAGCTTTTGATTCCTTACTGATTTTTGTTACCATTGTAATTAAGATAGCCAAACACTCTTGCTTTATTAATATTTAATGTATCATTTACTACCTTTTAAAATCACGATTAAAAAGAGTTAAGCTGAGTTAAGATTAAGTCAACCTCACTCATTAACATTTTCTTTTCAATTTTTCTTCAAATTTACCCAAGCCAATTTATATACAAGTTTGTACTCTTTTTTAAAATTTGGCTTGAAAAGTTCAAGCAAATGCTTGAATAAATAACGATCAATATATCGGTACTTTTGATTCACATTGGAACGTATTTTCCTTTCATGTTCACCTAATTAAATAAAGTACATGATTAAAATAAAATACTCTCTCCCATGTTTATTATTGATTATTTTTTCTGTTGATGTGTTCAATTTTGATTTGGGGACAAAAATGGAAACCAATAATTTAATTTCTCAATAACGAAGAATTGGATTGAATGAGATGAGATAAAACAATCACTTCAAATCATTCTTAATTTTAAAATAGGATGACTTCTTGACTATTTCATACATGCTATACAAATGTACTACTCAGGAACACTATATATTTTCTTTTTTAATATTTAGAAACTTGATATACAAACATAATTTTCTCTTAACTAAAATAATAAAATAGTAGAGATCTTTTGGGGGATATGTTGAAAAACTAAAAAGTATAAGGATTAATGTGTGTTCAATTAAATAAAGGGAAGCAATTATCACTGTAGGAAATCAATCAAGGAATATTAGAAATAAATTAATTATATTCATGAAATATGAAATCATTAATTCCATTTTCTTTGGATATAATACTAACTCCTAATTTTGAGGAATGAGATAAAATAAAATCGCCATTCATTGTAGCAAGCATGATTTCATACATTAAATAAGTTTTCAGAAAATTTTAAATCTAGTAAACTTTCTAATTTTTTTAAAATCATATAAAATATATATCTATTAATAGTAGTGTTAGAAAACTATAACAATAATACATGTATCAAAATATTGAATCGCTTCACATCAACCTTAAATATATTTTTAATTCTTGAAAAGAAAACGGTTTTTTTTGTCTTAGTTATTATTCAGATTTTTTTGGAATCAATTATTTTTGTTTCACACATGATATATTAGAATCTTCTTTTACTTAAGGGGGATATTCTCAAGGTTTTATCTCTATATTAATAAATATGTTTTGCTTTAAAAAAAATTAAAATATATGAGTTTTGTAATTGTAAATATTAAAAAAAATAACGTTTAATGAAAATCAATTTATAAAAATTGGCATATTTCAGGAAAAAAATATACTTAAATCATTAAGCATGTGGCTCAATTAATAAAAAAAATATTTTAACTTAATTTATACTCTTAAGTTCAAGTCTAATACTTCATTGATTATAAAAAACAATTTAACTTAAATAAAATATGGATTCGATTTTGGTTTATACAGCTTGACATATGATTACCTCATTTTTTTTACAACGAATAATCATATTTTACTTTATAGTGATTGTTTACGGTGAAAAATGACAGTTGTAAACAAATAATCCAAAGATCAATCTGGGGACTGGATTTAGGTCCTCTTTGGGTCCTTTTAAGTGTGTTAACGTAACGGTGAAATGGACGCGTAAATTCAGCAATTTAGTAAGAATAGTGAATATTAAACGTGCAGAATTGACTCAAACGTAGAGGTTCATTACAGAAAAGTATGAAATAAGAAATGAATTGCAGAAACAAGAACAAAAGCAAACAAACGAAGAAACTTGAATTGAAATACAGAATGTAAAGGTACAGGAATGTAAATATGCTGAAATGTAAACATACGACTCCTCACAACGGTGAACAGCGGCCACCGTGGGTCTCCTTGTAGCTGGTGTCTGGCGCGGTGCAGGGTTTCAGCGTCTCAGAGAGTTTAGGTGCGGTGTCTGGGTGCAAAAAGTCGTCCTCTGTGAAATGGTGCTTTGGATTATTTATAGACATGAAAATCACCACCGTTTTCCTTCTTTTGCGGGCACTTCTTAGTAATTGCCTTCAACTGTTGATGCTCACTATCCAGGATTGCTTGTGATCGTGCTGTTTGTTGGGGCTGTAACTGCTATCGCCCATGATCTCCTTTGCGTAGTGGTGAATGTTGATAACTACTGGTAACCACTTTTGGATTTTTCAAGACTCCTATCTTTCGAGTATTTCTGAGAGAAACCTAGGAGATTCTTTTAATGTTATGGCCTTAGAATAGTTTCTTCTTGACTTCTCTTTTCGAGCCATTCTAGAGTTTTGAGAGCCTGTCTTGGTCTTGTGGACTTAGAACATTTTCTTTGCTTATTTCTGTTTTTTGAGCAATTCTAGAGAGACTCTGGAGCTCGACCAGATTTGTGGACTTAGATTATTTTCTGACCACTTCTTATTTTCGAGCAGTTCTGGAGGAAATCTGGAGTTTGGCTAGGTTTGTGGACTTAAAAGTATTTTCTTACCACTTCCTGTTTTTCGAGCAGTTTTGGGTGTCAGGTACTTGGAAACTCCTCAAAAACTCCTCGAAAAGCCATCAGTTTTTGTGGACTTAGAATATTTTCCTGTTAGTCCTGTTTTTCGAGCAGTTTTGGGAGTCAGAGATGCTAAAAAAAGCTAGTGCAGCTTGTGAGAAGAAAAGAAAATTTTTTATAGAAAATGTGAAGACCCTGACTATCGAGAGAGCTCAAGCTATGGAGAATATTTCGAGTCTAGATGCGCAATGTACGGCTCTTGAAACCAGATATCAAAATTTGAGAGCCGTTTACACTGAAATGCGCTCGAAGCCTCCTTTTTGATTTTTTAATGTATTTTTCTTTGAATTCTAGTAGTTATTTTAATGTAAATACTCGAATTCTGCTTTAAATGACATTTATTCATTTGGCCTTTTTATTACTCGAAATATCTTTTATTTGCCTTGACTTAAGTTATTTTTACTTCATGTATTTCTGATTTGTATGGTTTTAAGTACTTACCGTTAATCGACATAATTCGACTATTAGTTCCAAGTTCTCGAATTGAATACGCGTTATTTGAAAACACATTTTCAATCTCGAAGGGGCCTTCCCAATTGGGTGACCATTTTCCAAGTTTCCTTGATTTTTTGTCGAACGGTAAAATTACTTTCCATACTAATTCACCAGTATTAAAAAACTTGCCTCATACTTTTCTGTTGTATGACCTCGTAATTCTTTCTTTTTGTCGAATCATTTTCTCTAAGGCACTTAAGCGAATTTCATCCAAGACATTCAATTCATCAAACATTAAGACCCAATAATCTTCACTTGGTAACTCGAATTGTCGTTGTAATCTAACTGATTGTAGATTCACTTCAACAGGTAAAACGACTTTATGGCCATAAACAAGTCGAAATGGGGTTGTCCCCGTGGCCTCATTTGGAGAATTCCTATATGCCCATAATACTTGGCTTAAAGTGTCATGCCAATTTCTTGGCTTTGATCCAATGTGTTTTTTAATTAACTTGATCAAAATTTTATTTACTGCCTCCACTTGTCCATTGGCCTGGGCATAATATGGGGTCGAAGTTATCATTTTTATATTCAAGGACTCAGCATATTGAGTTACTTTTCGACCTACAAAAACAGTTCCTTGGTCTATTGTCAAAGTTTCTGGTATACCGAATCGATGAATTATGTATTTGTCGATAAAATTAACAACATCACTCTGAGTAACTTCTTTCAATGGAACTGCCTCAGCCCACTTCGTAAAATAGTCGACAGCTACAATGATGTATTTATGACCTTTTGTCGAAGGAGGATAAATTTGGCCAATTAAATCCAGAGCCCAGCCTCGAAAAGGCCATGGCTTAATTATTGAATGTAATTCTGAGGCTGGAACGTGTTGAATATTACCATGCTTTTGACATTCTTCACAAGATTTTGCATAGTCAAAGCAATCTTTAACCATCGAGGGCCAGTACAATCCTTCTCGAAGTAACATCCATTTCATTCTTTCTCCAGCTTGATGAGCTCCGCAGATCCCTTCATGGATTTCTGCCAAGGAAATATAAGCCTCATGTTCGCTGAGACATCGAAGTAAAGTGCCATCAACACCCTTTTTATACAATTCATCAACCATAATTATATAGTTAATTGCTTGAAATTTTGTTTTTCGATTAGTTGGAATGTTGGGGTCCTTGAGGTAATTAACTAAAGGTTTCCTCCAATCTTGGTCAATTAAGTCATTTATGTTTAGGATCTCAAGGTTTGTTGACCCTAACTTCTCCCTTATCTCTGTTAATTTTGCCAGGTTTTCACTCAAAATTCTATATTTCGAGGCAATTTGGGCTAATTCATTGGCCTCTTGGTTTTTGTTTCGAGGAATATGTTCTAGAATGACTTCGTCAAATTTTTGTAATAACTTATTCACTTTTACCCAATATTCGACGAGGTTTCTACTTAAACATTTATATTCTTTGGTTAGCTGCTTTATTACTAACTTAGAATCTCCTCGAATGATTACATTTCTTGACCTAAAATTTAACAGTATTTCAAGTCCAGCCAATAATGCTCCGTACTCAGCTTCATTGTTTGAACAAGCTGATTTTATCTCGAAGAGTAATTTCGTTGAGATTTTGTCTGGTGAAATTATCAATATTCCGATTCCAATTCCATTTCTATGACTAGATCCATCGAAGTACAATTTCCATGACTTTAGACTTATAAAATCTACTTCTTTGATTGGAATCGAGTGATCAACAATGAAATCAGCAACAACTTGGCCTTTTACAGATTTTAGTGGTTTATAAAT